AAAGCTTTTAACTTTATTTATTTTTACAGGGTCAGGTTATAATCCACTTCTTTCAACTACATGTCCTAAGTATGTTATATTAGGTAGGCAAAAATGACACTTTTTAAGCTTGATCATTAAATTCGCTTGCTTGATCGCTTGGAATAATTTTCTCAAATGTTAAATATGATTCTCATAAGTTATTGAGTAAATAATGATATCATCTAAATAGACAGCAATGAATTCATACAAGAATTCTTGGAGAATATGATTCATTAATCTTTGAAAGGTTGCTGATACATTCTTTAGTCCAAAGGGCATAACGTTGAATTCATACAGACCAAACTAAGAAATAAAAGCAGTTTTTTCTTTATTCTTTTCACTCATTTCTACCTGCCAATAACTACTAGCAAGGTCCAAAGTAGAAAATCAATTTGCTCCTCTGAATTTCTCTAATAAATCATCAATTCTCAATAGAAGATATGCATCACTTTTAGAAATAGAATTTAGCTTTCTATAATCAATGCAAATTTGTTTATCTTCAGTTTTTTTGCTACTATAACTACAAGAGAAGCCTAGGGGCTTAACGACTTCTTGATAATTCCATTTTCTTTCATATGCTTGATTTCATTCTTGAGAAAATTAAGTTTAACTGGTCTTTGCACTTGTAAGCTCCTGTGATAACTGGATCATGATTATTGGTCAAAATATTATGTTTTACCAAACTAGTTCGTCCAATTTTTGTTTGGCTTAAGGTACATATATCTTCATAATCATCAATTAATTTTTGAAATGATGTCTGCTGCTTGTCATCAAGAGGTCCAACTTGAAGGTCATCTTTAATTTTCCAAATATTTTCTTTAGTAGTTTCAGCAAGAAATACTGCTGGGTTAGTTTCAAATTCTTCCTTAAATATAAGAGTTAAATAAACAGGATTTTCTTTATTTCAAAAATTGTAGTCAAGAGGTAAAAGGTCAGTTTCACCCTCATATTCTTTTTGACTATCTGCCATATAAGCTTCAATTTCGCTAAGTTCTTCTTTCTCATAATCATCCAAAACTTGTTCTATTTCATCATCTTGTTGATCTTGAATAGTAGGATAACTAACAAGGGCTTCATTTGCACTAGAAGTTACAGGTACTGTGATTGTTTTCGCTAAATATCTCAACCTAATTTAGTTGGTTCCAAAATCAAGGCTAGCATGAGTTTTCTAAACCAATCCGTTCCTAAAAGTAGAGATTTATCTTTGGAGTCAATAACTTGTAAAGAAATAGGAATTAATAGATTTTGAATAGCAATTTTAGCCCTTTTAACTTGTCCTAATACTCTAGTTCTTTTTCTATTAGCAGTAACTACGACAGTATTAGACTGTTCATCAATAGATAATCCTACTTTCTTCATTAACTTCCTAGTGATAATACTGATAGCAGCTTCAGGATCTAAGATAGCAACAACAGGATTTCCTTTAATCCTAACATAATAACGAACAGCTGTAGATTTGTCTTCTTTTCTTCTTCACTATTTTGATTAGCATAATTTGTTTCTTGAAATTTTGGTCTCCTCAACCCTTAAGCAAGGTTACGTCTCTGATTTGGATATTGCAAAAGCTGATCAATTTTTGCAGAAGAAGGCATTTGTAACAAATCTTACATGATATTATAGGGAGCTATTTGATCGATTTAGGATGGTCCTTATTTGACTTTCTTCTTTTGAGTAGAAGTAATAATTTGTGGGGTTTCTACTTCCATAAATTCATCAATAGGTTTTCTGCTTCTCAAGTTTAATTCCCTTCTGG